TAAATTCAGTTCCACGCGCAATCACCCTGCCTGATCTACTACAATAGATTCGATCAAACAATTAGGTACTTGATAATTATCACGTAGATACAATTTATTTCCTATGTTTCGACGGTTATTCGTTATACACATTATATACAATATAATAGAATATATATAATTATATATATGATCGTACTATTAATAACGAATTAATTTCATATATTTTTCAGCGATGCATGCTTATAAATATTTTGATGATTCAATGTTAATCAATATTACTCAATATTCTTAAACATGACTCATGTATAATATTGTTATATAAAAGTATCATTATTGAAATATTCGACATAAATAATCATATTAATTTAAATAAATATATAAAATATTTTATTGGCATTTATTCAAATTGTCCATTATCAAACTGAAAGCTTCATTGTTCATTTATATTTTTAATATTTCACAAACAATAAACTACATTTAACATTTCTATTTGTTATTTACATATTTAATTGGAGGAAACTTTCAACAACGAAATGCTTTATACACGAAGAGAAGATTTGTATTTCTAATTGATGTCGAGTCTAATTAATATTGATTAAGTCTCTTTGATGCGAAGGATTATCACTAAGCATATTGAGCATCCATAACGAAAGCCGTCTTGACACAAATGCCATCTATCGTATCCACCTTCTGGGAGTTAATCAAATATGCGAGATAATTACATTATTAGCAATTAAATTTAAAAAAATGGAATATATTAAAATATAAAGAATATATCTCTCTGCTACAGACTCTTACAATTTTGTCAGCAAAAAAACATCAAATAGTGATTAACTGTAAATTATTGATATATCATATTCGATTTTACACGTAAATGGATTCAATGTAATGCATCTCTATATGAATATTACAATAAAACTTCCTCTCTCAACAGGATATCGAGTAACCCCGGGGGAAAATCCAATCAAAAGTATGCGTTAGAGGATTAGCGATTGAAATATGCCCTTTATTGTTGGAATCACAACGAAGGTAAAAGAAAGAAGCTATCCTATAAACGTGCAGCGAAATAGAAACCTCAGATTTATATTTCATTAATCATTCTTTCGAGTCGCGGATTACTTACTACGAATATCCACCAGTTTTCAGAATCGTGACCATGCAAAATGCCGAACTAAGTCGTCGTTTAAGTCCCCCAAGAGCTTTTTACACGATAAGCATGCCGTTTCCACAGAGGAGGAGGAATAGTATTATTCCGGGATAGAATCGAACGAATCGTTATCTTCTCCGTAAAGATAATGACCCCACAGTCGGCGCCGATGGTGCCTTTCCTTTCATAGCGAACAAACTGTTATTCCTTCATGACAATGTACTTAAAACGCTATCGATTGTACCTCGATAAAGAAAGGATTCAAACGGCGACTTCCGTCATCTTTCAGTTTTCTCTCGTTTAATCCCTTTCCGTTTCTTCGATCGCTAAAGGCATTCCGTTTTTCGCGTAAATGCTCGCTTTTACCGGAAACTCGATTTATATTGAACTACTTATACATCGATTCGATTAAGCTATGCGGCGCACGATTCGCCGCCTTCCCATTACCATAATCGCAAATAGCGCTCTTACACAAAGGGAAACTATTCCTTATAGAGACTCATAATCAATTGTCTTTCTAAAAAAATTAAAAATTCTGTTCCAATTCTTTTTAGTTTTAAATATCGTTTCATAAAAAATAAATTTAATTTTCTAGTGAAGTTTATTTTTAATCTTTTTATCTATTAGTTGAGATTCTAGTACATTTTCTCACATTTTTTTAAATAAAATGTTTTATCTGAAAATATTTGAAAGTTTATATTGGAACTTCGACCTTTTATTCGAAAAAGTATCCAAATTTTATATCAGAATTATTTAGCGATTACAAAAATTGATATATGCACAGTAAAAAAATTTGTATATTTGTATTGGAAACGGTCCACTCACATTTGTGTTAACAGTTTGTGTTGAATTTTTTAACATATTCGAATGTTAATATAACATAATGTGATTATGTTATTTGAAGATTTTTTGTGAAATTGATATTCAATGTTTCTTAATGTCAAAATGACAAAATTTATGAGTAAGTGAACAAGTAACATAAAAATAATGTTATTCTTGAGGCTTTCACGGGTGTTACCTATGTGACAATCTTGCGTTTCGCGGGTTTTCTCCGTGTTCAGATCCATTCTTGGAATGCCAATGTTTCGTGAACCTTGCAGTTCACTTCATCAGGGCGAGGAGCAGCCTGATACTGTCATATCAGGCTGCTCCTCGCCCTGATGAAGTGAACTGCAAGGTTCACGAAACGTTGGCATTCC